ATTTAACACACTGAACACACACTGAACACACATTGAACACACATACACAGACAGAAGACACACACACACACACACACAGACAGAAAGACACACATACACATTGAACACACACACTGAGCACACACACACAGACACAGACAGACACAGATACGCAGGAAAGGAGGGACAGTTTGAGGAACATGCCGCATTCCAGACCACTCGGAACTGGGAAATGTCTGAGCTGAAATATCCGACTTCCAACCTCAAAGCGTTCCAGGCGCACGGTGGTGCATGGCTCCGAAAGTGAACAAAAAACATGGCTGAGCGTGACAAAGTGAACACACAGTTGCAACTGGCCATTTAAATGCAGAGGAATTACTGGGGGAACAGACACAAACAGACAGATCACCAAGAACTACAACCAACAGGGAAAACAGACTAAAGCTGGGATTAAACAGAACTTGTAAATGAACGAGGAAATACACAAGGCTAAACAGAGAACACAAGACCAAGAACTGAACCTCAAAACGGGAAACATGGAACAACCGACTAACAGAATGGAGTAGGGAACAGAGAAGGAACCAACTGTGAAACAGGACAACACTAAACACGGAACAGAACAAGAACTAAGGCAGACACCAAGAAGACTAGATACAAGACCACAGATAGAGCGTGACTGAAATCCAAAACACAACAGACTAAACAACAGATACTGAACTGATCAATATAACAAACTCACAAAGGGCTAAACTTAAACATGGCCGACAGGCAGAATGTGACACCTGGTCTCAGACTGGTGGGAATGATCTCCAGAGGAAAGGTCTGGTCTATGTCACCCAAACCAATGTATCTGGGTCTTCATGTTGTTGGTGGGTTCAAGTCTTTTAGGGCGATTGAATTTAACCCTGGCTATTACATCTTTGAAAGAAGAAAAAGAAGAAGACGACGTACTCTATTAATCACGCAAGTGGTGTTCTCATTGTTGTTCTTACGCACACACAGCCCAGGAGGTGAACTGGCTCCAGCTACCAGTCCACACTCTGGACCCTTAGGGACTGCTGCCGCCCCCAGACACTGTGAGGGGGAGGGAGCCACAGAACTGAAAAGTCAAGAGGAGAAGAAGTGATTAATAAAACTCCAGCGTGTAGAAAACATGTTCTGAATATTATAAACAACAGCGTTGGTTGTTGAATCAAACTAAAAACAGATTTTTATTTAATATTAACATTAGATGATCATGTTCGGCTCGGGATCATGTGATTGATCAGTCAATCCATTCAGACACTTCAGTAACTTTTTCCTGTGATGTGAGATGAACTTCAGCTGTGAACTCAGAAGACCTGGCGATGGTGTTCGACAGGAAGCAGAAGAGACGGATGGAAGTCAAAGTATTTTATAGTCTAGTAGATTATTTAGTGTTCTGACTGAGACATAAATCATCGTCTGTTTGTGTTCTTTGTAATCACACGTCCATGTCCTCACACCTCCTACACACAAACAAATAAATAAATAAAACCCTCCCACAGAAAGCAAACCTTCACAGAAATGTCACAGTGAAACGACAAGATAAAGATGAGAAGTTTCCTCAGCAGCACGAGGGAACGTAGTGAAGAATAAAATGTACGATAAACAGACCTGTGTTTCTAAAACAGACTCTCAGTTTCTCTGTGAGGAGGGAGCCTTCAGGTCTCAGTGGAGGTGGGAGGTGTTGTGGAGGCTCGTTCTGGATGAGTCTGAGCCAAACCTGCTCCTGATCCGCCTCGGCAGAGTGACATCGTTTCCAGCTTCCCTCTCAGCCTCCACAGATCTGCCTGTCCGCAGTCGAGGAACCGCAGCAAGTCGGTCAAAGTCCCTACCCATCATGCACTGCACTCAGCAAGACGTGTGGAGACATCCACCATTGTGTCCCTGAGCAATACGTTTCACCCCTAGTAGCTCCAGAGGCGTGCAACCTCTGACATGTATAGCAATTGTAAGTCACTTTGGATAAAAGCGTCAGTAAATGGAATATAAATGGTCTGGCTCATGTCATACAGCCTGTTTCTGTGAGAGGGTTCAGTGATGTGCGTTAGCTCCATGGCTGGATGTGATGCATTAAAGTCTGATTCCAGGCAACTCTACCTGGTCAGGGCTTCAGCTGAAGTGATGAAGGACACCTGATAGCTCACACAGCGGCCCGGGTTTGAGTCCGAACAGGGCTGCAGGTCATCTCACACTGACCAGTGCCGGACTGGGACCACGATGTAGGTTTTTTAACAATCTTTTAATTTTAACAGGCTATACATACATAATTATGTATTGCACAGTGACAAAAGGGTGGATGTCTCACGGGGGGAATTGAACCCAGGTCTTCCACACCAAAGGTAAGTGGCTTATCTATACGCCACCACCACCCAGACAAAGCTGTGTGATTTTAATCGCCGTCTTGCTGAGTGCAGTGCATTTTTTAACAGGCTATACTTCTTCTGGAGTTATAGTCTAGCTGTAGTTATTTCATCTTAATTCTTTATTCTGGAAATCCTTCTGTGTGGTATCACAGGGAGGGGACGAGGTAATGTGGCTCACCGGTGATCGATGGTCATGTGAGGCAGAGAAGACGTTCTGTTTGAGGACTTCACTGAGAATACTCTGCTGGTAATGACCTCATCCATCATTTAGTACTCAGTGTGCAGTACATGCTGACTGAGTATGTGGTAAGCAGTGTATTAGTACACAAGGATTTAACGTTAACACGCCTCAACCTTTCTTTAATGTTCAATTCAGCAGCTATGATTTCTCTGACATCAGCTGACATTTCAGCTCCGTTCAGCTGTCACCTGCAATGCTTCAATGTTACTCAGCTACACAAACTGAGAAATCTACTTCCTGCCTTAAACTGTCTTGTACTTTTAGTGATTACGCTTCAACGGTAACTCCTACACAACATCTCTCATGCATATAACAACACCGTTTAAACCTGTTTACACCTGTTTGAACCTGTTTACACTGTTTAACCCTGTTTACACCAGTCTGAACCTGTTTACACCTGTTTGAACCTGTTTAACCCTGTTTAAACCTGTTTAACCCTGTTTACACTGTTTAACCCTGTTTACACCGTTTAACCCTGTTCACACCTGTTTGAACCTGTTTACACTGTTTAACCCTGTTTACACCAGTCTGAACCTGTTTACACCTGTTTGAACCTGTTTTACCCTGTTTACACTGTTTAACCCTGTTTACACTGTTTAACCCTGTTCAGACCTGTTTAACCCTGTTTACACTGTTTTACCCTGTTTGAACATGTTTACACTGTTTGAACCTGTTTACACTGTTTGAACCTGTTTACACTGTTTAACCCTGTTCACACCTGTTTAAACCTGTTTACACTGTTTGAACCTGTTTACACCTGTTTACACCTGTTTAACCTGTTTACACCGTTTAACCCTGTTCACACCTGTTTGAACCTGTTTACACTGTTTAACCCTGTTTACACCAGTCTGAACCTGTTTACACCTGTTTGAACCTGTTTTACCCTGTTTACACTGTTTAACCCTGTTTACACTGTTTAACCCTGTTCAGACCTGTTTAACCCTGTTTACACTGTTTTACCCTGTTTGAACATGTTTACACTGTTTAACCCTGTTCAGACCCGTTTAACCCTGTTTACACCTGTTTGAACCTGTTTACACTGTTTAACCCTGTTTACACTGTTTAACCCTGTTTACACCAGTCTGAACCTGTTTACACCTGTTTGAACCTGTTTAACCCTGTTTACACTGTTTAACCCTGTTTACACTGTTTAACCCTGTTTACACTGTTTTACCCTGTTTGAACCTGTTTACACTGTTTAACCCTGTTTACACTGTTTTACCCTGTTTGAACCTGTTTACACTGTTTAACCCTGTTTACACTGTTTAACCCTGTTTACACCAGTCTGAACCTGTTTAACCCTGTTTACACTGTTTAAACCTGTTTACACCTGTTTAACCCTGTTCACACTGTTTAACCCTGTTTAACCCTGTTTACACCAGTCTGAACATGTTTACACCTGTTTAACCCTGTTTACACTGTTTAATCCTGTTTACACCGTTTAACCCTGTTTACACCTGTTCGAACCTGTTTACACTGTTTGAACCTGTTTACACCTGTTTAACCCTGTTTACACCGTTTAATCCTGTTTACACTGTTTAACCCTGTTTACACCGTTTAATCCTGTTTACACCAGTCTGAACCTGTTTACACCTGTTTGAACCTGTTTACACTGTTTGAACCTGTTCACACTGTTTGCACCTGTTTACACCTATTTGAACCTGTTTAACCCTGTTTACACTGTTTAACCCTGTTTACACTGTTTAACCCTGTTTACACTGTTTGAACCTGTTTACACCGTTTAACCCTGTTTACACCGTTTAACCCTGTTTACACCTGTTTGAACCTGTTGACACTGTTTAACCCTGTTTACACCTGTTTGAACCTGTTTACACTGTTTGAACCTGTTTACACTGTTTAACCCTGTTCACACCTGTTTAAACCTGTTTACACTGTTTGAACCTGTTTACACCTGTTTACACCTGTTTAACCCTGTTTACACCGTTTAACCCTGTTTACACCTGTTTGAACCTGTTTACACTGTTTAACCCTGTTTACACCTGTTTGAACCTGTTTACACTGTTTGAACCTGTTTACACTGTTTAACCCTGTTCACACCTGTTTGAACCTGTTTACACTGTTTAACCCTGTTCACACTGTTTAACCCTGTTTACACTGTTTGAACCTGTTTAACCTGTTTAACTGTTTACACCGTTTAACCCTGTTTACACCGTTTAACCCTGTTTAACCCTGTTTACACCTGTTTGAACCTGTTTACACCGTTTGAACCTGTTTACACTGTTTAACCCTGTTCACACCTGTTTGAACCTGTTTACACTGTTTAACCCTGTTTACACCTGTTTGAACCTGTTTACACTGTTTGAACCTGTTTACACTGTTTAACCCTGTTCACACCTGTTTGAACCTGTTTACACTGTTTGAACCTGTTTACACCTGTTTAACCCTGTTTACACCGATGTCTATGAAGATTCTCAGTCATCCAGGTCATAGTTATCCAACGAAGGTTAAAATCAAGGGCAACTGGACTTGGTTGAAGATACTGGAAGACGTTTCGTCCCTCATCCAAAGGACTTCTTCAGTTCTGACTGACTGGCAGGGAAACTCAGCTATTTAACCTCAGTGGGGTCATTATCCCGGGTCATCGATACTACTGGTTCGTTAGAAGACATTTTAGACAGAGAAGATGGATGGTTTGAAAGAGGTGTCAAGGAAGCATCTACACCAGGGTGGAGAAGCCGTCATTGAACAGGGGAGGGGGTCTACGCCACCACTTATCCCCCACTTACAATGCTGTCCTTTCATCACTTCCCAGGAAACTCAACAAACGTAACCTATTGGCCTCAGGTGAAGATACCAACGATGGTCGTTCAGTCTTGGCCACAGGTAGTCTTAACGACTGTAACGACTGTCGTCACAGCAACAAGGAACACTAACGAACCAGTGGTATCGATGACCCGGGATAACGACCCCACTGAGGTTAAATAGCTGAGTTTCCCTGCCAGTCAGTCAGAACTGAAGAAGTCCTTTGGATGAGGGACGAAACGTCTTCCAGTATCTTCAACCAAGTCCAGTTGCCCTTGATTTTGACCTTCGTTGGATACCTGTTTACACCGTTTAAACCTGTTTACACCGTTTAAACCTGTTTACACCTGTTTGAACCTGTTTACACTGTTTGAACCTGTTGACACTGTTTAACCCTGTTTACACTGTTTAACCCTGTTTACACTGTTTAACCCTGTTTACACCTGTTTGAACCGGTTTACACTGTTTGAACCTGTTTAACCCTGTTCACACTGTTTAACCCTGTTTACACCGTTTAACCCTGTTTAACCCTGTTTGAACCAGTTTACACCGTTTAACCCTGTTTACACTGTTTAACCCTGTTTACACCTATTTGAACCTTTTTACACCTGTTTGAACCTGTTTACACTGTTTGAACCAGTTTACACCGTTTAACCCTGTTTACACTGTTTGAACCAGTTTACACCGTTTAACCCTGTTTACACTGTTTGAACCTGTTTACACGTGTTTGAACCTGTTTACACCTGTTTGAACCTGTTTACACTGTTTACACTGTTAAAACTTGTTTACACTGTTAACAACTCTTTACGCTGTTGTTACCTGTTCACAGCGTTTGAACCTGTTTAATACTGTCTACCCTGTTTAATTGTGCACTTTGCCACACGCCTTATTTTCCTTCAGAAAGTGGACCCTTTCTAGTCTGCTATAAACATTTAGCTGATGTGAGGGAGGCTGCAGTACATGTAGTAAATCCATGTTTTCTAGAAAACAAATCAAATGTGTGACTGGATCTTTGTGTGGGCATAATTATAGATTCTATTATTTAAATGAGCCCATCAGCTTTTAATGAAACAGTTTTATATTTCTTCAATATTAAAAGAGTTTTCATGTGATTTAAATTCTCCATATGCAGATGTGTGATATGAATAATGTATGAAACATACGTCCATCATGAATGAGGATAAAAGGACATTTCTGTTGCTTCCTCTCACAAATGCTAATAACCAACGGCTCATTAACATGTGGAGTGTTGAGACTCTCAGCTTCATTATGAAGCTCAGCACACACTGGAGGTCTGAACCAACAATAAGAGGTTATATAAAACTCAAGCAGACAGTAAATCCACAGCACGCTGCAGCTGGGAGCACAAATGTGTTTCACAGTTTCAGGCTGAAACATGTCTGTTCAGAGCTCATTATGAAAGTGTAACTGAATACAGAACACATGTCAGACATCTGATCAGCATGTTACGTACTAAACAGGAAACCTTCTCAGCAGAGGCTCAGAGCTCAGACCACGAGTCCAGGCTCAGTGTCTTTGTCTTCCAGGTAAGACGGAGAGACAAACTGATGAAGAGGGTTAGCAAAGCAAACCTTCACCGGCGAATGAAAAGAGCAGCAGCAGAAGAAGAAGAAGTGATTCAGAGTCGACCTGACAGAACAACAGGAGACTCCAGTCAGACCACTTTAACAAACATGTTGTCTGGACTGGTCTCAGGTCAGCTGCTTCCCTCAGTACAGTCTGACAGGCTCTGCGTGGCCCTGCTGGAATTAGTCTGGTGTGACAGTGCTCATCCACCAGGCAGCAGGAAAAGGTCAGACTGCTTTTAATGGATGGTGAACCTTTGTTTTAAACCCTCGCTGGCTGAATGAAACCCGTGTAGCCAAAGACTCAGAGCTGGTGAACAGCTTTATAAATATTAAAACACCTTGTAGTAATTTCTGTCAGGGCAAATTGCTGCTGACACAGAATGATTCATTTGTGCATCGGCCTCATTCTCACAGGCGGGCGGGAACGCCTTTAATTACCTGTTGGCAAGTGATGCGTCTGCTCCACCTGCCGTCCTCTCAAGACAGCAGTGTGTCGGCGGCGTGTCCCACACTCCTCCGGTCATTTGTTGGCATACCTGCAGGACATCATCACACATTATAGGAGGTGAAGATGAGGACAGAATCTGCCTCTGAGCCAGTTTAGAAATTTCTGTCAGATCGGTTTGACATTCAGTTTGACGCCACGACGAATGATTAATCACCTAATTAAGCAACGGCTCGATCACCTGATTGATCAATAATCTGTTGGGCGGTGAATTGGATTTCTGGCAGCTCAGAAAGGTGAGTAGCTTTTCTCTGCAGCAGATTCACATTAACTTCCTGATATAACGATGATAAAACTCTACATGTGAACTCACGTTTCAGTCCCTCAGTAAACTGATCCTCTATAACACGTCTCCTTATCTCCTCTGCAGATCTGACCCGCTCACTAATGAGCTCAACAAGGCTAATTAAGGTTATCATGTGTTTTATAGATAATAACATAGTGTATCTACAGTCACACAGCAAGTGCATGAAGGAAATGTCACATGATCAACTGCCACAAAATATTTATCATTATCTAATGAATAAACTGTATATGGATCACTACCATTATACACATGGCTACTGTGCTGCACGTACTGTAAGCGTTTAAATATAGAGATGTTCTGTCACTTCTGTCAGAGGACGTAGGTAGAAACACCACAGAAGAAGAGCAGAACAAAGAAACACAACCTGAAGAGAGAGAGGAGGGTTTCTACATAACTACTGACTGTCAGCCAATCACAGAGCTCTAATAAAGAGAGCGAGAGGGACAGAGAGAGAGAGATGATGGTGTTTAGATGTGGAATCTTTTTATAGACAAGAAGAAAAAAGTTTCAGTTCAGAGCAGAAGAGAAGACGAGGATCCAGGAGAAGAAGAGGAGGAACAAAGAAACAAGAGGAACAGGAGGAGAAACAGAGGAGGAGGTGAAGATTTGAAGATAGAGATGTACAGGTTGTAAATCTGTGATTTTGGACTGAAAAAAGGAGGAAGTGAAGGAAAAGAAGAGACGTTGTTTGGACTTGTTGAAGGAGACGTGGAGACGTTTTCTGAAGGGTAAGTCTGAATCTTTCTTCTTCAGGTGGTTTTTATTCTGTATTCTTTATTGCAGGAGAGCGGAAGTTTACTTATTTTCTGCTTCTGCATTTTGACACTGTTAGATTTGTTTTTATTTTCAAAGAAATGAAAGAGAAAAGGTAGAAAGAAAGTGACGGTTGCTGTTTCCAGACTAAACTCAGAGGTGTTGTTGGTTTAAATCAGTTCATTATCACTTGTTTTATTCTGTACGTCCATTTGGAAATTTCAGAAGGTATTTTACCTCAAACGCTGAGCTCTGGTCATTTTATTGTATCACCAACAATTCAACCTCAGCAGATCCTCCTCTCACCGTCACCAGCATGTTGCTGATGTTTCAGCTTCAAGCTGAATCTGCAGAGCAACAGTGAGGTCATTAACCGTTCAGTTGAAGCTTCTGTTAGACGTCTGACTGCACGACTCAAATACCGTTTCTAAGAGCTTGCAGCCTGAGTCACACACAGAGGAAAGAATCACCGCCATGAAACGAGTGTCATTTACACCGAACAGGCTTCAGACGTTCAGTGTGACCCGCTTAGAAACCTGCTGAAACGAGGTTTCTCAAGTATTCTACCCGGATTCTACAGAACTTATTTATTTGAATATGGACCACCTGTAATGTTGTCTCAGACCACTAAAGGTCCATTCCCAGAAAACAATCGTCCCAGTGACGTAAACTAATCAGATCTGAAAACAATACGTCAAACCCTTGAGATGCTTTTATTTTGAAAAGTCTGCACAGCTGGGGGTTACGAACCAGCAGATGTGGTAATTAAATTTCGTTAATTAATGGATTATAGATTATGGCCTCTCCGTTTTCTGAACCTCTTTCTATCATGTGACCTCATGACATCATGACCTGATGACCTTGTGTTTAATCTGTGCAGCTGTTAAACACCTGCAGCCCTGAACATGAATTCATCTTCATTTAGGGAGCAGCTCCGCTCTAAAGTCCTGCCCTCACATCTGAGGTAATCACAACAGATGATGTTTCAACCAATCACAGATCAGCACCAGTTTATGTCACCTCCACTTGGTTCAGACGTGATTCATACTGAATAAAATCAGTTAGCTGGAAACAGAAGTTTGATATGATTTTAACTTAAGCACCTTTTATGTGGACGTCCTGTCAGTGTCAACGGTGAACGCTTCCATGTACCAGCATGCATTGCGTGTGGGCTTCTGACGCCACCAGGTGGACCACTACAGCTCTGAGCAAGCTAGCTGCTGGGTGTTAATCCACGCTCCACTGCATTCACGACAGACTAGCTTAGACCAGGCGAGAAAGACACCAGGTGACATATAGACCGGGCGAGAAAGAGACCAGGTGACATATAGAGCAGGCGAGAAAGACACCAGGTGACATATAGAGCAGGCGAGAAAGAGACCAGGTGACATATAGAGCGGGCGAGAAAGAGACCAGGTGACATATAGAGCGGGCGAGAAAGAGACCAGGTGACATAGAAAGAGACCAGGTGACATATAGACCAGGCGAGAAAGAGACCAGGTGACACATAGACCGTGCGAGAAAGAGACCAGGTGACATATAGAGCGGGCGAGAAAGAGACCAGGTGACATAGAAAGAGACCAGGTGACATATAGACCGGGCGAGAAAGAGACCAGGTGACACATAGACCGTGCGAGAAAGAGACCAGGTGACATAGAGCGGGTGAGAAAGAGACCAGGTGACATAGAAAGAGACCAGGTGACATATAGACCGGGCGAGAAAGAGACCAGGTGACACATAGACCGTGCGAGAAAGAGACCAGGTGACATAGAAAGAGACCAGGTGACATATAGAGAGTGCGAGAGAGACACCAGGTGACATATAGAGCGGGCGCGAAAGACACCAGGTGAAATAAAAAGAGACTAGGTGACATATAAAGCGGGCGAGAAATAGACCAGGTGACATAGAAAGAGACCAGGTGACATATAGACCGGGCGAGAAAGAGACCAGGTGACACATAGACCGTGCGAGAAAGAGACCAGGTGATATATAGAGCGGGTGAGAAAGACATCAGGTGAAATAGAGCGGGCGAGAAAGAGACCAGGTGATATAGAAAGAGAACAGATGACACATAGACCGGGCAAGAAAGAGACCAGGTGACACATAGAGCGGGCGAGAAAGACAACAGGTGACATAGATAGAGACCAGGTGACATATAGAGAGGGCGAGAAAGACACCAGGTGACATATAGACCGGGCGAGAAAGAGACCAGGTGACATATAGAGCAGGTGAGAAAGACACCAGGTGACATATAGAGCAGGCGAGAAAGACACCAGGTAACATATAGAGCGGGCAAGAAAGACACCAGGTGAAATAAAAAGAGACTAGGTGACATAGAGCGGGCGAGAAAGACACCAGGTGACATAGAAAGAGACCAGGTGACACATAGACTGGGCAAGAAAGAGACCAGGTGACATAGAAAGAGACCAGGTGACATATAGAGCGGGCGAGAAAGAGACCAGGTGACATATAGAGCGGGCAAGAAAGACACCAGGTGACATAGAAAGAGACCAGGTGACATAAAAAGAGACCAGGTGACATATAGAGCAGGCGAGAAAGACACCAGGTGACATAGAGCGGGCGAGAAAGACACCAGGTGACATAAAAAGAGACCAGGTGATATATAGACCGGACGAGAAAGAGACCGGGTGACATAGAAAGAGACCAGGTGACACATAGAGCGGGCGAGAAAGAGACCAGGTGACATAGAAAGAGACCAGGTGATATATAGAGCGGGCGAGAAAGAGACCAGGTGACACATAGAGCGGGCGAGAAAGAGACCAGGTGATATATAGACCGGGCGAGAAAGAGACCAAGTGACATAGAATGGGCAAGAAAGATACCAGGTGACATAGAAAGAGACCAGGTGGCACATAGACTGGGCAAGAAAGACACCAGGTGACATAGAAAGACACCAGGTGACATATAGAGAAAGAGACCAGGTGATATATAGAGCTGGCGAGAAAGAGACCAGGTGACATAGAAAGAGACCAGGTGACATATAGAGCGGGCGAGAAAGAGACCAGGTGACATATAGAGCGGGCAAGAAAGACACCAGGTGACATAGAAAGAGACCAGGTGACATAAAAAGAGACCAGGTGACATATAGAGCAGGCGAGAAAGACACCAGGTGACATAGAGCGGGCGAGAAAGACACCAGGTGACATAGAAAGAGACCAGGTGATATATAGAGCGGGCGAGAAAGAGACCAGGTGACACATAGAGCGGGCGAGAAAGAGACCAGGTGATATATAGACCGGGCGAGAAAGAGACCAAGTGACATAGAATGGGCAAGAAAGATACCAGGTGACATAGAAAGAGACCAGGTGGCACATAGACTGGGCAAGAAAGAGACCAGGTGACATAGAAAGAGACCAGGTGACATATAGAGCGGGCGAGAAAGACACCAGGTGACATAGAAAGAGACCAGGTGACATATAGAGAAAGAGACCAGGTGATATATAGAGCTGGCGAGAAAGAGACCAGGTGACACATAGAGCGGGCGAGAAAGAGACCAGGTGATATATAGAGCGGGCGAGAAAGAGACCAGGTGACATAGAGTGGGCGAGAAAGATACCAGGTGACATAGAAAGAGACCAGGTGACACATAGACTGGGCAAGAAAAAGACCAGGTGACATAGAAAGAGACCAGGTGACATATAGAGCGGGCGAGAAAGAGACCAGGTGACATAGAAAGAGACCAGGTGACATATAGAGCGGGCGAGAAAGACACCAGGTGACGTAGAAAGAGAACAGGTGAAATATAGCCCGGGCGATAAAGAGACCAGGTGATATATAGACCGGGCGAGAAAGAGACCGGGTGACATAGAAAGAGACCAGGTGACACATAGAGCGGGCGAGAAAGAGACCAGGTGACATAGAGCAGGCGAGAAAGAAACCAGGTGAAATAAAAAGAGACCAGGTGACACATAGACCGGGCTGGAAAGAGACCAGGTGAAATAAAAAGAGACTAGGTGACATAGAGCGGGCGAGAAAGACACCAGGTGACATAGAAAGAGACCAGGTGACACATAGACTGGGCAAGAAAGAGACCAGGTGACATAGAAAGAGACCAGGTGACATATAGAGCGGGCGAGAAAGAGACCAGGTGACATATAGAGCGGGCAAGAAAGACACCAGGTGACATAGAAAGAGACCAGGTGACATAAAAAGAGACCAGGTGACATATAGAGCAGGCGAGAAAGACACCAGGTGACATAGAGCGGGCGAGAAAGACACCAGGTGACATAAAAAGAGACCAGGTGATATATAGACCGGACGAGAAAGAGACCGGGTGACATAGAAAGAGACCAGGTGATATATAGAGCGGGCGAGAAAGAGACCAGGTGACACATAGAGCGGGCGAGAAAGAGACCAGGTGATATATAGAGCGGGCGAGAAAGAGACCAGGTGATATAGAGCGGGCGAGAAAGAGACCAGGTGACATAGAGTGGGCGAGAAAGATACCAGGTGACATAGAAAGAGACCAGGTGACATATAGAGCGGGCGAGAAAGAGACCAGGTGACATAGAAAGAGACCAGGTGACATATAGAGCGGGCGAGAAAGACACCAGGTGACATAGAAAGAGAACAGGTGAAATATAGGCCGGGCGATAAAGAGACCAGGTGATATATAGACCGGGCGAGAAAGAGACCGGGTGACATAGAAAGAGACCAGGTGACACATAGAGCGGGCGAGAAAGAGACCAGGTGACATAGAGCGGGCGAGAAAGAGACCAGGTGAAATAAAAAGAGACCAGGTGACACATAGACCGGGCTGGAAAGAGACCAGGTGACATAGAAAGAGACCAAGTGACATATAGACCGGGCGAGAAAGAGACCAGGTGACATACAGAGCGGGCGAGAAAGAGACCAGGTGACACATAGACCGGGCGAGAAAGAGACCAGGTGACACATAGACCGGGCGAGAAAGAGACCAGGTGACATAGAAAGAGACCAGGTGGCATACAGAGCA